GGGGGGCAAACATTCCAGAAAATGGAACTACAATGTAAGGGGAATAACCTAACAGAATCCCAATTCTATTGTTAAATTCAATGCACTGTTCTATAACAAAGTCAGTAACTTCTAACTTCCAAATGTTGGAAAGTTCGTGTTGCATAAGTGCCTATTTAAATCGGCCAATGCCTCCTATACTTCTGTAACAGTTCCGCCAAACAGTGTCACACAAGGTAATCAAGAGAAATATGTTAGAGGGATTATCCGATTACGGTGACTTTTTCGTAAGAAATTTCAATTTCATTACGCATTTACTTCCCACCAATCCCCTCTCCCCCTTGCTATCCAAAACTTCCAACCAGTACTCTCCCCGCGCCCTAGAACCATATGGATATCCCACCAAAACAACGCTGTTTACTTTGACTGCGGTATGAGATAACGGCTAATTCTTATCAGTCACAATGACATCAAAACATGTCGGGCTAAAGGTGTGTGAAGTGTTATCGATCCCATCACAGGAAGACGAGCCCGAAATAGACGAGATAGGACTATATAGTAAATGCGGTCTAACATAGCATCATTGACTCCACGGAGCTGTCAGCACACAAACACCTGACGGTCCTTTTCAAACAGACAGGTACATATTGCACAACAGTGAAGTTCATTACAAATCGACTGTTTTCATCTATTTCCAATAAGAGGGTGAAACGCGTGCTGTTATTTTGTAAAACATGTAATTAGAAATGTCACACCTGCAATTGGAAATGTTTCAAAATGACCTACCTTTTGAGAAAATGATATTTTGTATGGAATCGGAACGTATCTGCAGTAACGGTGTTCTTTCTATCACTATATATATTAAAATATGTATGTTTCATCAGCATTTCGCATCTATTTAGGCTATTATATGTTTACATGATAATTTATATATCATTTACTTATGTTCATGTAAATCATATGTTATATGTATTGATTCTATACAGCAACCATGAGATATGCTGTCACCTTGGCATTGCTAGTAACCTTGACCTTTGCGAATCCACGAAGTGACCTCCTTTCGACCTTGAACGTGCTCCACGATAGCGCAACTTACCAGGCGCTACCCCCGGAGCTGAGGCTATTGACGGTGGAGCTGGCAGCCACTGCCAAGGCTGGACAACTCACCAGTTATATTGATAAAGTTGGCTTCTACAGCGTCCTCAACCTCATCAGACGTAAGTCATTTTGACTTCTATCGGAGTTGCCTCCCTTCAATACGATTCCGTCAGAAGTATAGAAGGCATAGACCTTTTCCCATTAAATGCGGGACTGTAACTAGAGTTGGTAATCCCCAAACCTCGCAGATCAATATGTTTAACGTCATACTATGAAACGACGTGAAATGTATTGTGACGGTATGTGTCACATGCATTTAGGATTCGTATATGTCTAACTAACTTACTATTCCTTCAACTTTTTTTCACGGTAAAAAATGCATGTTTGCACCATGTATAAGTGTGCAATATTACTCTTAATGAATCACACAGTGTAAATGTCATAGTTTAAACAGTTTAAACGAAAAAATTATTTAATTTCGGTTTTGTGACGACGGGAAGGCTGGTAGGTGTAATTCTGTAGCGAATGTGACGTGTGAACGTACAGTCTTTCGTCTCAGGTGAGATTCACTTAGAATCGTTGCTATTCAAGACTAATAAGTTGACATTGCAGCTTGTTTATTTTTCTTTACCTTACAGACTTGCCCGTGCACGATGCTCATGATTTAGAAGACTATCTCCTAAAGGTGAGTTGATACAGAGGCTATATCAACGGTAATCATTATCAAAGAGATCGATTCGGAAGTCATTTGAAACGAGCAGGTCTTAATAATTTTTCAATGATATCAACTTTATCATTTTTGTTGGTTTTTTTGTTTAAGAAAAATGGTCTCTTACTCGGCTATGTAGATGGAGTACTCCTGTAACCAATATTAACCAACAGACGGTTAATAAAACAAGACTATGTCTTCGTGAGAAAAAGATATTAACCCTTTCACCACTGAAGACCATAATAGACTCCTTACGATCAATGCATGGTAGAGTCTACTAAAGTTACATAGGGGCGAAAGGGTTAAACACAACAGAACGTTTTGCTTATGCCATGTTAGGTTTTTCCCCGTGAAACTAAATTTTGTAACGCATAATGAATAATTCCGAGTTCATGAGAAACAAAATGTAAGATTTTGTATAATATCTATATCCACTGACCAGGTGATAACAGAGGAGAGCATCGCTGCCGCACAACAGGCTCAATTGGCTGTATCCGTCACTACCACGGAGACATTGCCAGCATCAGTTCGAGTAAGCATTATGATATCCCTCCCTTCCCTCCTACCTCTCTCCCTCCTTCACGCAAGTTATATTTACTCAATTTTTACCACGGAGGCATCACCAGCATCAGTTCGAGTAAGCATTCTGATATCCCTCCCTTCCCTCCTACTTCTTTCCCTCCTTCACGTAAGTTATCTTTACTCAATTTTAACCAATACATAATTTTAAATGTTGATTGAAATGTAAACTTGTAATTTGTTGTCTTTCCATGTAGAGGTCAAAGAGGTCGAAATCCAATTCGTACCTGCATAACCTGGAGTCGACCAACGCCTACCAGAGCCTACCACAGGAGTACAAGGGTGTGCTGAAGTCCCTACTAATCGCCGCCCACTCCAACACCCTCACCCAGTACCTCAGTCACGACGTCACAATCCTTCCAAGACTGCTTCATCGTACGTAACAATTACATAAGTCAAATGTTGACTGGATTTAATTTGAGTTTGGGATTAAAGTTCAGAGTTTAATGTGACTACTGACCGTTCAGATCGGGTTGTTGTAAGATGCGGTCGCTCTTTAGGACATCAGACTAAATTTGAGACAAACCTTAAGTTAGATTTTTAATCGCAGGTGAATCACGTTATAGTAAGGTATTTCCCGACTTTTTGTGAGAAAAGTGTACGAAAATGATTGCCGGTTAATATAGATATTAACTTTATGTAACAAATTAAAATTAATATGCAAAAATGTTAACACACTGGGATAAAAATCCAAACTGATGTCGACATTAAAAGTAAGGCATCACGACCATCAAGAACCAGATGCTGTGTAAGGGTCACCGCGTGTTAACATGGCACCTATCAGCGCGTGTCCTGTCATAGACAAGAACTTATCATGGTGATCACCGATTACATAAGACGCAGTGAACATATCTGATAATTAATCCAGAACAAAATTAGATCTACGTGTTTTACATACCTCGTTTGTAAACGGCATACCATAAAACATGGTCTGGCCCAAGGATCATGAGACGATATCAAGTCTAAAATTATCTTAAGTTTTGAATTTGCCAATCACAAGTTACGCCAAGAAAAATGGCGTCATAAGTTATTAGCTAAGCATAAACTTAAGCCAAAGACTTTTTCATTATCCCGGGGTCTGTGGTCGAGTTTGATTTGATTTGCTCCCAAATTTTGTTCTGGTCGAGTTGGGTTTGGTCTGGTCGCATTGGCCTGGTCTCAAATGGTGGTCCAGCTGGTGTGGTCTGACGGGTAATAGACCCCTTTTTATATCTGTACACCACCGGATGCATCGATCTGTAGTAATCAATACCTCAACATCTTGTTTGAGATGGGCAAGTCATTGTCTAGCCGTTGTCCGAACACGCCGTAGAAGGGACAGGAAACGACACCAGGTGAAATTCATTGTTGATACAAACCATAACATTCAATTCACGTCTCCCTCTGCAACACAGTAAAGCAATACTGTGTGTGGAAGGTACACACCAAGCTGTTATTATGACTTTGAAATATCAGTCGTAAATAAAAACTAAAGGAACCCATATCCTCCTCTCCTTGGGTGGTCTAAATCTGTCGGATGTGTGGACGGGCCCTACTTTGTTCGGTGATTAGCAACATGAGACCTTGAAGGAAAGATATATTCTAATTGTGAATTCATAATTTGGTTTCAATGACTAGCTTTGAAAAAGATAGAAAAAATTGACAAGCAATTATTATTTGTATACATGTACTTAAGCATGCATTATAATGACATATATAAAATTGAGTCAGATATATCTTGTCACTAGTCTATGTGACCGTTTTCTCAGCGAAGTAACATTCCCTGGATTTAAAAGCCTATCGATGAGAATGGTTGCCGACTCTCAAACTGTACCTTAATAAGTGGTACCCTCTCTGTTGCACTTAAGGAATGATTTTTATTTTTTCAACATTTATGAGGTCATAACAACAATGGGTTTATGGACATATTGAATGAATCGCGTTAGCGATTCATGTAAAATATGTCCAAAAACCCATTGTTGTTATGACCTCATAAATGTTGAAAAAATAAATATCATTCCTTATATTTACATTGACGAATCCTTTCAGTGGATCGATATAACAACGAATAAAACAAATAAACAGGGTTTGTTCCTGCTTATACACGGGTGCAACGCAGTGGCGAGAACAGTGTTTTTTCGCGGGGAAATGTGACACTATCGTGAGAGATCTTAGCAACCGTCAACAACAATAACACAACAAAATGTAGTTCCATATTCAGTGTTTATTTGTAGCACAGGACACGTGAATACGTGGATATTTCACAAAGCACAGTTCAATAATATTTTAAGATGTAAGAATTAAGCATCTAGGTCGGTCGTTCCGAGTGAGTAGTTTTTGTAGTGTATTACTACGCAGTGTGATCAGGTTACTATCAGTTCCCATGTGCTGAGATTCTATGAACACCTGTGTTATGCATTTATGAATGTAATTTTTGTCAATGGGTCTAAGCATACAGAATGTAAATATAAACAAATGGAACGGTTTTGGGTCACCTACTTACCTGGAGCTGTTATATCATTGTCGCCAAAATACTGAGTGCGTACCTTTCCACTCATGCTGTGAATGTGTCGGGATTACTTAGTAATTGGTGTTATGGTAAGTACCAAATATAACCATAATTCGGGATCAGACCAAACCAGCCCTGACCATACTTTATGGTGTGCCCACCTAATACCCCTCTCTAACGCAGCCATGGTATTTTTGAACCTGCTGTACGACTGTTAATGACAGAACACGTTCTATACTTACAATGTTCGCACCGTGTACCAAAAAAAATGTGAAATCATGACATGGTAATGCATGCATCCAGTTAATAAAAAAGTAAGTTTGTAGTTTGTAGAATATAAAAAAGGGAAAAAGAATCTTGACTTAAAACCGACAAGAATGATTAAAAATCAAATCTTGATTAACTTATGCTCATTGAAATGCTTTTATACAATGAAACATATTCTAGATTCAATATCTTGCCAGAGTAAGGATGTTTACGGTAACGAAACGTATACATCAAATTCGACACAAAACCAGACAACTCTGTACGTTTCTGGCTTTTGTCAGTCTCCTAACACGTGCTACCGATAAGAAATGAGGTAACAAATACTCATCAGCAATAATAAGGATCCAGATTTCTCAAATAAAACAAAATTTAGATAATAACCACTGCTGCACGCAACAGAAAACCTGCTTTATGAGAATTAACCTTTGAAACAGACATGTCGGTCGTGCTTGCACGTACAGCAATATCACGTGCCAGCATACTTGACATACTTGTGCACAAAAACCGCAGCATCCTGCCGTTATAATAATGTCTATTCAAGACTGAATAACATAAACATGAATAATATTGTTTGTTGCTTTTTGTCTCCCTTTTTAATGATTGTTTACGCTGTACCAGCTCCATCTCTGCAATTGTAACCCGTATATAATAACCTCTGTTTACAGATATGAACCCTGGCTTAGCCCGGAGACTCAATGCTTACTTTATGCAGGTATGTACACTATGTGGTAATGACAATCAGTAAAAACTTGCCAAAATACATATGCGTAGCACCAAGATATACAGGAAAAACAGATTAGACAAATTCTTCAACCACCATTGCAAAGATAGGATATTTTTATTCAAGGAGTATGTTGTTTATTTCGTATTCTCAATCTGTATATTGCCTCATGTTCGGTAAAATATTCATTTTGCTGTCTTTTAAAGATGATATTATCCTGGGAAACAAATGCATTGTATACATTATGCATTGCTTAAATATACATGGATGAATATGACTTACAAGCAAGCAAATGTTTCATGTTTTTGTACGTCCGTTTTAATTTAACAGCAGTTGCGGACAGAGGGAAGACAAAATTCCCAAATCGATGGCGACGACGACGACGACGACGACGACGATTAGATAGCAAAATAGTGGTAAAAGTAGAACGACATTGTTTTAAAAAAAGTCACAGAACGTCATAACCGTTTTTAAAGAATTATGATTATCAACATGGTAAATTACTATAAATATGTAGTGATTTTATTGTTTCTTGTTTTTCTTTTTTTTTTTCATAATGCGTAAAAAGTTACAGAACACAATAAAATACAAACACTGCGGTTCCCAATTACTCTTAAATGCCATAACGTTATGTTTGAATACTTACTTTGAATACTTATTATTGGCGCGGAAAGTTCTTCCATAATAACTTTATCATCAGGTTATGTATATGAGAAAAAACAACCGATAATCGATACGAATCATCTATTATCTATAGACGTATCAACACGTAATTTCTTAAGCGGCCTACGCCTCAAAGTGTTATGTCAAAGGTCATGGGGGAAAAACCGCTTATGCGCTATCAAAAACTTGCATGGCGGCCAATTAGGAGTCCTTTGATACGATTACGATTTCTTTATTTAAACGATATATCCACACTGAAAAATTATACGAACATCGAGTATGAAATCAGGTACATCTATTCTTTTGGGAAAATCTTCAATGTTTGGCACTTACATCGTAATAAATCAGCGATCGTGCAATTTGTTGGAGGGTCGCAGATGGGTGTGTAAGTTTACATTTACATTTATACTGCAAAGGGCCGTCGAACAGCATCAACTTGCAGGTAGACTTGTGTGGCGTGGCTTCCACATGAGTTCGTTAAAAACTGGTTAAAAAGTTGAAACTAATTACAGGATCCACATTCACTCTGCAAGATGACTGGAGCGAGGTCTTGAATGCCTCAGTTCTCCCCAGTAACTGGTGGATCGGGGTATTTATCGGACAAGTCAATCAAATTGATTATTTTTCCTTTCTCCGATACATCATCTTTAAACCTGTTTCTGGTATACTTAACTTTGACATTTTCCCGCCGATACAGGAAAAAATTCAAAGCATTCTTTGCCATCATGAAAATTAACGTCAAAAACGACGATGATGTCATTTTCCACTTTCCGTTTGGCAAATATTAACGTTAATGTAACCCAGAGATGTATAATACAGAGATTTGTATTATCTAGGGGTATCATTGGACAAGCAATGTTGGAAAGTCATTTTTGTACTGGTTATAACTTGGAAAACCACATGAGTGCATCTCACACTAGCTGATACATAACAAATAAAATAATACAGTAAATATAAATGTGTATTTTCTGTAGATTAATCAGGGATGGACACTAACTTTTTTGCTTGGTAATCCACAGGACTAGTTGAAAAGATTATTTACTAGTCCTTTGTCAATGTAAAGTTCTATAAGATTTCCTGATCAGGAAACATTGCGATCTACAGCATGAAACATCAAAAGAAGACTTCATATAACTACTGCCATAAAAATATGGTTAAGTTATAAGATTTGTTTTGACAATTATCATGCAATATATATTATTTAAAGCATTTTTCTAAATTTTAGAAAGTAATATTGTTATTTTATAATCATATTTTCCACAAGTCCAAAGGTCCAGTTAGGTGATTCACTGGTCATTGCTGAAATCAAATAGTCAAGGACTAGTGGACTAGTGTGACCAAGACTTGACCCCTGTTAATTAAATACATTTGTAGTGGAACTTATGTACATTGGTAATGAATCGGGAAATAAAATAGTTTAGTATTTGAAGGGGGCATGGCTATATTCAATCTTGAACTTGCTGCTCAGACATGGAGTAATTACAAGCACCTTAACACAGGAAAGTTTCTTGTCAGCATTAATTCTGGACTCATCAATTTTGCGGCAAGCAAGTGACAAACATATCTCTACATACTCTGGGTTTCTTGACATATTTGAACGATATGATTCGGTCATGGCAGATAGGGGGTTTATATTCGAGAAGAGTTGGGCAGAACTGTTTATTCCTACAGGGTGTAGGAGAGCTTCTCAAATGTCAAGAGCTGAAGTGAATCTTACAAAGGCCATTGCAAATCAGAGAATTTACATTGAATATGCAATCGGATGAATAAAAACCTTCAGTATCCTCAAATTTGAGGTACCTCTTATGATCATGATCATCCAAACTTTCTATGTTTACAAATTAATGTTGTGTTTATATCAGTCGCTAGTTCACCTGCCCTAGCACTGTGTTGTCAAATATAATCCAGTTTTGATATATGTGAGCCAAACTTTTACTTTTAAGATCCACAAAGCTTCAACTCTTCTTTAACAAAAGTACCAGGTATTTTTATGGCTGTAATAATATATTGATATGTGTATCTCTGTATCACAATATTTTGTTTAGAGAACATGTATCCAGTGATACATATGTGTATTTATATTTAATAATTTGTAATTAAAAGTGCAAAATTTGGAACATGAAATTAGTGACATTCTCACGGTCTATATGCACACTGACACTGCTAGGTTCAAATTACAGTGTACTGCAAATATTCCTAAGGATACCCAATAATTAAATATAGTGTGAAACACTTATCAGACATACAACTGTGCATGGGTGGTGTCTGGTCAATCGTGTCAATAGTTTTGTTGTTCTGATAATAGTAGAAATATGACCAACACAGAGACCAGGCTCTCCGGATGATTGATCAGGCAAATGGGAACGGAACAGGTCTTTATTAATATTCCAGCCCAAAAAAAGGGAAAATTTACAATTATCTTAATACCTACTGTATCCATCTCTCCCAATACTCTATCTGAACCTTATTCAGTTATTGGTAATATAAAGCACATTCTATCAAGAGTTCAATTGAATATCAATTAAGCAAGAATATAATAATATATATATTATATATACATGCAATATAATGTGGCAGTCAAACCAACTGTACATTTTCGACTTGCATACAAAATCTAACCTCATATATTTATTTTTAGGCCTAAACAAGGCTTTTATATTTTGCCTAACTTGCAAAGTCTGTACTTTAAACTTTCAAACTCTGCCAATAACACTGCACTTTAGACATGCCCATTTACTAATCTGTGATGATGCAAGCTTATTCATCTGTACACATGCAAAGTGATACCAAAGATGACAATAATCACATCCAATGCTTTGATCCCCATATTTCTGTATGCTGTGTCCTTCCTTGATTACATGCTTTTAATTACATACAGGGCAGAAATGTGTTGTAGCAGGGGCATGATCAATGTCCATTGCCTCTGACATGACAGGCAGATCTGTGTTTTTCATTTTGATTTTTCAAAGGCCTTAATTGAAAAAATTTCAGGCACTACAAACTTCACATAAAACAATATAAAGCTGTCAAGTACTTGCAAATAGTAGGGAGCTGTCAAATAAAATCATTTCTGTGTGTTTGCCAAATAATTACATGTGTATACAATTTGCTACATATAAAAGTCACAACCCTTTCTCCCTGTGATGGAAAGCTGCCCTTAGATTTGCCAAAAATATAGAGCCATAAATAGACTTGAAGCTTACAAGAGCAGAGCCTTGAACACTTAGCACATTTTGTAACAAGGAGACATTTTATTTCTACAACACCATCCCCACAGCACTCACAAGTGACCAACAGGTCTGGACTTGCTCCTAAATGAAAGTGATTCTGGTCAAGGAATGGACACTTTACTATAAAAAGACTTCAACATTTCTTTCTTGTAGGATTGTTAGGCCTCTGGTCCCAGTTCCCTGGCAATAGATTTTATATTTGGGTGATTTTTTTATACTCCAACAAATTGCACAATAAAGGTTCCATATTTGTCACAAGATAACTTATAAGAGCATGTACAATACACTAAGACTGAGGTCAATTTCAAGTTTGACTGAAACCTGCTTTTGTTTATTGAGTCATCACAATCATATTTAATGTCCTAGTCTAAGGGAGATAATTGATATATTTTTAAACCATAAAACTGTTTCCTTGATATTTGAATGTGCCCAGTCTATTACACATAATTGACAAGAGTGTTATGTACAGGACAATATTTATAAGCAGTGCTTTATATTATTTATCACTAATTAAAATAGTTTTCATAGCTAACTAATATATTTTTAGAAAATTTATATATTTGTATTGTCCATATTAGGGTATGACTCGCTGTTTAGCATTTAGTTTGCATTCAAAAAGATAAACAGAATGTTAACTAATGCTTTCATTTAAACATTACACAATCACCTACAGGTATCGAGTTGTCTTGGTTTCATGGCCGATTTTACTGCTCCATTTTCCTTGCAACAGCAAACCCACACTGTATGCGAGTCGCCCTTCACTTTCTGTGACAACACGGTGTACATTTGGCTGACCTCACGGCGATTTACCACCTCAAACTTATGACACATCGTGTCATTCCAATGTTACAGAATATTTATCAATAAATACTTGATAAATGCTATTGTAGTACATTTAGTTATGTACTGTCTCCATTTGTAATATCTGCCTACCTTACCTACTTTATCCTTACAGCAACGCATGTATACCGCATCACCAGTTTCAGTGGAGTACAAATACTACCGCATCACCAGTTTCTGTGGAGTACAAATACTACCGAATCACCAGTTTCTGTGGAGTACAAATACTACCGCATTACCAGTTTCTGTGGAGTACAAATCCTCTATCAAGAATGTCAGAATCTGTTTATTACCTGCAGAAAGATGGGCTTCGTCGACGAGGCTTTTTGCTTTACAATAAACCCCGAACTATTCCCTTAATAGATAATAGTGTATCTGCAGCTTGAACAGTTACGCCAGGCTAAAAGTGTGATTATAGCGAAGATGAAATATCGTTTTATCTCCGACGTTCCTGCCAAGTCATTTTGACAAATAAAAATTCCTATTTTACCAACAAAAACTGCACGTCAGTGTAGAGGATACTTGACGAGGAAAGCACACTAGCTCGAGTAAAACTGCATGGAAATGTAAAACATGTTTTTTGGGTCTGCATGTCTAGATCTACATTCACTGAGAAATATGCTGTTCTCAGGAAACAAGAAATTTTACATCGTCAGGATTTCGTTTTTGACTATCGAATTTTAATTTTAAAATAATTTCCTGCTCATTTTCGTCATTTTTTTGTTAGATTTTGGTACATATAATGTTATAAATATTTTTCAGAAACAATATTAGAAAATTTAAT